TGGGCGGGGAGGCGCGCGCCGGGCTGCAGCCATGAGCGGGGCGGCCGGCCGCTGCGTGGGGCCCAGCCGGCCGGGGCGCGGGCGCGGCTGGCCGTGGGGGAGGAGGTGCGCCGCGGGGACGCCCCGAGGCCGGGGAGCCGGGCGCCGGCCGCCCCTCGCGGCCTGGGAGACGCGCTGCGTGAGCGCCGACCGCCTGCAGGACTGGCGGCGGCCGCGGGGGAGGAGAGCCGAGGCCCGGGCCGCGGGAGCCAACGAGCCGGGGGCTGGCGGGACCCCTGGGCGTGCGGGCCCGGCCGAGGCGGCGGGGGACCCTGGGGCCGTGTGGGTGGACGGGGCCGTGGGGGAGCCCCAGGTGGTGGGGCCCGTCGGGTCAGTGTGGGTGACCGGCGCCGGGCGGGAGGAGGAGGGCGCGCTTGACGACAGCCCCCGGGGCTGTGAGCGGAAAGGCCGCCCGGGCTCCGCGGGGCATGAGAGCATCCTGGAGCTGTGGCTGAAGGTGCGTGCCATGAGGGCAGCCTCGGGCCGCGGGGAGGAAAGCAGGGTGGAACTCCACCCTGTGTCTGCGGGGGAGGGTCCCGTGGAAAGGGGTGTCCCTGGCCGGGCTTCCTGGGTGGAAACAAGCTTGGCTGGCCTCACAGGGCCCTGGGTGAAAGGACAGGCCAGGGCAGCCCCCGGGGCCCCGGGAGGATCTGCAGCTGTGGGGCTAGGGGCAGCTTACGCGATGGCCACGGGCTCGTGTGGGCAGCGACAGGCCATGGGCCTGCTTCCCCGGGGTGTGCCTGCGGCCCTGGGGACAAGTTCCGGGATTATCCCATACCTGCTGAAGAGAGGACAGGCTTTGGGGGTGCCTGGAGCCATGGGGTGGCCTGAGGCTGTGCAGAGAGTGGTGGGCTGTGGGGCTGCTCCGGATCTGTGGGACGGGGGGCAGCGGGCGCAGGTGCCGGGAGCACTGGCTCGAGAGGCGGTCTGTGGGGACACCCCCGGCCTGTGGGGAAGGGGACAGCCTGCGAGGATGCCTGATGCTGTGGGGGCACACAGAGGCATGGAGGAGGAAGCAGCCTCTGTGGATGCCTTGGACATGTGGCAGAGGAGGCAGACCGTGGAGGGGATGGGCTCTGGGGGTGTCCCTGGCATATGGGGTGTTGGACAGCCTGTTGGGGTGCCTTGTGCTATGGAAGAGGAAGCCAGATGTGAGGGTGACCCAGGATTCAGGGAAAGGGGACAGGGCGTGTGGGTAGAGACCGGGTCTGGAAGTGACCCGGGGCCGTGGGCAGCTGCACAGACCGTAGAGGTCAGTGGCCGTGATGAGCAGGAGGTAGGCCCTGGGGGTGCTCCAGGCCTGTGGGGTATAGGGCCGGGAATGGGGGTACCTCCGACTCTGGGGAAGGAGACAGGCTTTGGGAATGTACCGGGTTTCTGGGGGACCGAGCAGCCTGTGGGGGTGTCGCAGGCTGTGGTGGTACCACCAGGAACCCTGGGAGAACAGGAGAGCTATGGAGGTGTCCCTGGCCTGTGGGAGAGGCAGCAGGCTCTGGGGGTGCCTCTGGCCGATGCAGTGCCTGGGATCGTTGGGGAGGATACAGGGTCCAGGAACGTCGTGAGGCTGTGGGAGAGGAGGCCGGCTGTGGGGGAGCAAGAGGCGCTGGTACCTACAGCTTCAGGGGTTCCTGGGCCCGCGGATCAGGAGGCCGGCTGTGGCGATGACCCCTGTCTGTGCCGAAGGAGACAGGCTGTGGGGTGGCCTGACCTGCAGGGGATGCCTGAGGCCGCAGTTTTGCCCAAGCACAGGTGTGCCCCTGCAGGGGTGCCCCCAGCGGTGGGTATGCATGGGCCTGGAAGGGGGCCTGCCAGGGTGCCTGCCTTGGTGTGGGTGTCTGGCCCTGCGTGGCAGGAAGGCAGCTCCGGAGAGGTCTTGAACCTGTGGGAGAGGGTTCAGAGAGCCGCAGCACCGGTGGCAGCAGGGGTCCCTGCAGCTCCTGAGGAACTGTGGTCTGTGCGGGAAGACGCTGGCTCTGTGGGTTTCCCCGGGTCGTGGGGAAGGAGACAGGATGTCGGGGTTCCTGAAGCACCTGGGCTCAGGGAGGAGACAGGCCCCGGGGGTGTCCCAAGATTTTGGGGAAGGAGACCGAGTGCCAGGGTGCATGGGACTGCCGAGGTGCCCACAGCTGCCAGGGTGTCTGGTCCTCTGGGGATGGAGACCGGCTTGCCAGGAAGGAGGCAGACTGCAGAGGTGTCCACAGCTGGTGGGGCGCCCGTGGTCCCCAGCACACCCAGGCCTGTCCTGGAGGAGTCCACTGCCAGAAGTGTTGCAGGCGTGTGGGGGGAGAGGGAGACAGCAGGAGGACCTGCGGACGCCTGGGCTCCCACAAGGATGGGGGTGCCCAGCACCGCCAGGATGCCCGTGCCCACGGGGGAAAGTCTGGGGCCTGGTGGCCCCTCAGGCTTGTTGGGAGGGAGACGGGCTGCTGAGATGCCCACGGCTGCTGGCCCTTCCATGGCTGTGGGCGCCCGTGGGCCGATGATGGCTGATTCCTGCTCTGGGGACTTCTCAGGTATGTGGGGACAGAGACTGGTGATGGACGCGCCCACTGCTGCCAGGGTTGCAGGAGCTGCCGGTGGGGCAACTGGCTCCGATGGGGTCTTGGGCCCGTGGAGGAGGAGACCCAGCGGACCAGCCACTGAGGCTGTGCGGGTGCCTGTGTCTTTAGGGGTGCTCGCAGCTATAGGGGTTCCTGTGACGGGACGTGCGCCTGCCGCGGTGTGGGTGACAGGGTGTACGGGAGAAGAAACCGCTGCGGCTGCCTCGGGCCTCCCGGCGCCAAGGAGACAGTCCATGGAGGGAGCTTTGGGGGAGGAGGCAGGAGGCCGAAATGTGGAGCTGGCCCCGGGGAGCCAGGCGGTAGGGGTGTCTCACACCCATGGCTGTGGGACCAGGTCGTGGAGCTGCCCGAGGCCTGGCGGGGGAGAGGCCGACCACGAGAGCATGTGCTTCGCATCTGGGACCAGAACTGCCGTGGGGATGCCTGACGCGGTGGGGGCGCCCCTAGTTTCAAGGCCGGAAACAGGCATCAGCTGTTTCAGGGTTCCCCCGCAGCAGGGTGGGGGGGCCAGGCCAGAGGAGCAAATGGAGCCAGGGGGAGGGGGAGCCCTCTGGGAGAGCACCTTGTGGGGGAGGGCCGGTTGAGGGGGCCTTCCAGTAGCACGTTAGGGAGCAAGTGGGGGGGGTCCTGGGCTCTGCGGGAGGGGACTGGTGGGGGGAGGTCTGGCCTGGGATATGGACCAAGACACAGCTTGTCGGGGTGTCTCAGGATCGGAGCGAGAGGCTTCGTAGAGATGTCCTAGGGGATGTTGGGTGACAGACCGGGAGGTTTCCTGGAGTGGCAGAGAGGGAACAAGTTGCAAAGAGAGGGGTGTCCCGGGCATTTGTACAGGGGGTCATCGTGGGGGTGGGTGTCCCTAGACTTTGTGTTTGTGTATGTGCGTGTGTGGCGTCACTCAGCATCACCTAGTGTTTCCTGGCGGAGAGTGGGAAGGGGCCGACCTCGTCAGACTTGCGGACAGGCTCACCTGCCTCTGCGGGCCACGTGACTGTGGCTGCAGCCCCTGGACTGTGATGGGGTCAGCCAGCAGCAGGGTCGCTCGCTCACCTGCCCCTCCCATCTCGACAGCTCTAGGAATCGGGGGTCTCGAACAGCTGCCCTGATGTTCCTGCCGATGTGTCTCTCTGGAAGCAAGTCCTGTCTGCAAACCTCGGATTTACTCAAAAGCTGAAATTAGGGGTTTTTTCTTAAGACCTGGATTTCCCTACTGATTTACCATAGGGTTCTTTGACAGAACAAATACCCCAGTACATTGAAAACTAGTCAGTTTGTGGAAAATCAGCTTAATTCAACACGTGTTGAGTTCACGTGTCTGTCACGCTCCAAGCACAGTGTTGTGGGAAATACCAGAGAAGAGTAGGACAGGTCCTTCCCCTCCGGGAGCCTTGTCTAGCCGGGAAGATGGGACTGACCCTGCGGTGTAGGTAAATAACAGCGTGAGGCGAGAGGGTGATGAGCTCGTGCTGAGCGCAGGGGTGCTGCAGTGTCCGGGGGTGGGGGGCCCAGCCCACGCCAGCTCCCAGACCGCCTTCCTGTCTCGGCCTGCTATGGGCGGGGGGCTCCAGCTCACTCCGCAGACCCCCCGCAGGCCTTCTCCGAGTCCTGCACAGTCCCGGGAGCTGCCCGGGCGGCGGAGCTGGCGCTGTCTTACTAGCACTCCGGGCTCGCGCGCGCGGACCGCGTGTTGGTGAGCCCACCTTGCAGGAGGGTGCTTGCCCGCCGCGCTGCAGCTCTGGTCTTCCGGGTGACCCTTGAGATCTGACGCCTGGAGCGGCTCAGCAGCGAGTCGTTAGAACACTGTGCCCATATTCTCTCAGAGAGGAGGATTCCCAAAGGGAACGTGCTTTGGTGCCAGTCCCGGAGCCCTCGCTGCCACACGTGAGGCCGCTGTGGGCGTCTCCGGAATGTCGTTGCTCGTTGCACGGGCTTGGCGCCGCGTTGGCCTCCTCGTGCTGCGGCTCTGAAGCAGCTTTCTCTCGTTGTAGGCGATGACTGGGGGAGAGCAGGGCCGGCCGGCGGCTGGGCTCTCTGCAGCGCCCCGAGTGCTCTGACCGGATGGGCCCGGGCAGGCCGGCCGCCGCCGGGGCTCACCTGGCAGCCTGCGTCCAGCTACATGGGAGCAGCGACCCCAGGACCCTCCAGGCCCAGGTAGTTCTCTTGCCTTGCGGTTTTCAGATTTCTGTCGTGAAACATTTTGAACAAAAGTGGGACGAAAAGGGCAGTGAACACTGTTTAAGCCACCTTCAAGATTCAGTGGTGGTGTTTTCTCTTGGGTGCTTGCAGACCCGCTCCTGAGGCGGCTGCAGGAGTCACGGCGCTTCCTTTCTAGATGTTCTGGAATACTCGGTGTTTTAGAATAGGCCTAAAAGTGAGCTCTCCTGCCTAACCAATATCGCACCTAACAAAGTGGACCCAAAACCATTCCCTGATACAATCTAATAGCCCATTTTCCCTCCGCTTCACCCAGTTGTCCCCAAAAAGGGTTTTCCCCCAACACTGAACGTATGAAAATCTTCCCACAACAACGCTGGATTCTGCAGTGAACGCCCAAGTTGCGGGATGATTGCGTTGTGCTTGTCTCATCGCGCGTCTGCCCTCCAGAGTCCGTCCGTCAGCCCATCTTGCCCCAGTACACGTGGGCGTCCGGTGCAGACACGGGCACCCGGCATGCCTTGGTGTGCACATCACACGCTAGAATTTGTTCTTGGAGCTTGTTCTGAGAATTTCAGCTTTTTCTTCTGATGCAAACTTCACATCTGAAATGAATACACCAGAACGTGCGTGTGTTGTCACATTTGCTGAGTTTTGACGAACGCATAAGAGGTGTTGCATGTTCCTCTGTCAGGCAGGGTCTTTGCCGTTTCCCCAGAGAGGTCTTCCCGGCCCCTTCCTGCCCTCCCATGGCCACTAGCATTGGGATTCTTTGCACCGTAGATGGGTTCTGCCTGTTCCAGGCCTTCCTGTGAATGGAATCCTGTGCCACGGGATCTCGTGTGTCAGGCTGCTTTGGGCATGACGTCTGGAGCTCTGCCAGCGCGGCTGCTCTGGACCACCGAGCGGTGTCCCCGGTAGGAGCTCCGGCTGTTTGTTCTCCGGCTGCTGGTTTGGGTTCCTGCAGATGCAGCCACTGGGGGCTTCCTGGTACATCTCTGTAAAGGTGTTTTCACATCTCAGGCGCATACCGGGGAGTGAAGTCGCTGGGACGTGGGACGGCGTGTGTTTAGTTTAAGAAACCAGCAGACCTTCTTCCTGGGGCTGTGCCATCTCCCGTCCCTACTGACAATGACCGAGTGCCCCAGTTGCTCCGTGTCTTTGCCAGCCTGGGTTGGTTTTTTAAATTAGGGCCCTTCTGCTGGGTGTGAAGGAATGTCTCGTTGTAGTTTACCAAGAAAATTGAGGAAGAATATTGATGTAGTTTGAGACTGACAAGATACAGCAGTGGTACGTGGAATTCCTGGGTACGCTTCTCGCAGACTCCCCAAGTGTCAGCCCTCCAAGTACATTTCCCCTCCGTCTCCCCTGTGTCTCTGTCTTTCTGTACACACATGCGCTTACATGTGTATGCACTCGTGTGCTCACATGGACATAGGCACCCACGGGCACACATGCGCTCACACGTACATGCACACGTGCACACGTGTGCTCACGTACACACGCACCCACGGGCACAGTGCAATCACGTACACACGCACCCACGGGCACAGTGCAATCACGTACACACGCACCCACGGGCACA